ACAGGAACAAACTAACTTCTAAATTAATGTCAACTTCACAAACGATAACAATAACACACGGAAAACACGGATTTCCGACTCGCGGGTTTAACTTCTTCTGCACTCAGACGCGACTGTCACTTCACTCCCCGTCTGGTTCTCGTCGTCGCTTATATCCTTTTCTCCAGGTATTCCAGATAGTTCTAGAAATCTCCAGAACAGGTGCGAAACTTCCCGCTTGTCAGTGTCATATTTGACAGTAAATGGGGCCCAAATGGGGCTCCCATTTACTGAAACACCATGAATTTCGATTCCCCATTCCAAACGTGAGTACCCCAGGCCATTTCCGTTACAATATTATTATGAGTGATTTCTTGAGTGTGTCTCCCCCCATCTTTACCGTTTTTAAGTTGTTTCAGAGCTGCCTCCATTTCACTATTGTCGATGCGTTCTTGTCATCTGGATTTGTGTTTGAGTTTGCTAGGGACTGATTATAAAGGTCAGGTCCGATAAAATTTCTCGACTGTTTTTATAATTGTATCCCTTTCAGTAAGAACTTCTCCTCGGCCAATGCGCATTTTATGGATAGTAAGTCTCGGAAGATCAGTCGGACTCTTCGATCAGTTTTGTACTTTACGTCATTTTACCTCTTCTAATTGCTTCCTTTATTTTTTATTTAGTTTGCTATAATTATATTTCAGGTAATTATTTGGTTTTTGGCTTTGGCGTCCGGGCTTCTCGCAGCCCACTTTCCACCCAAATCTTTCTTGTAAAACGTATTCATGCAGTAGAGACTGTCTCTATTGAGAAAGTTAGAAAAAGTTACAAAGTTCTAGTTAGACAGTAAGAAGTGAAATCATAATAAAAGTAAAAGGATAATATGGCATCTATTAGGGAAGCGAAAAACAGACCCCTGTTGTTTGTACAGCGTTATTCACGCTATACGGCACGGACGTTTGCGGCTGGCCCGTTTGTTTTTTGCAAAGTATTATTTGATGAATCGACAGACGCCTATCGGGTGCATATTTTAAAAATATTTTTGTAATGTACAGAGTGTTCCAAAAGCCCTAAAAGTATCAAAGTTGTGTTTTTCTAAATGAAATACCCTATATATTATTGCGTTTTCGGACTCTGAGCAAAATAAGTGTTTGTTTTAATAAGATTTATAATGTCTAAATCTAAAGGTTTTTTAAATAATTCGAATTTTATCAAAATCTAATATTATTTTCATGTGTCAAATACTTGCGAATTATTTAAGTTATGTAAA